CTCTAGTTCAGCGTATCTGCCACCCTCACACAGACATACATGCAGGCAAAACACCAATGCACATGAAATGAAAGAAAGAAAAGAAAACAAGAAAGAAAGAGAGAAAGAGAAAGAAAGAAAGAAAGAAAGAAAGAGAGAGAGAGAGAAAGAAAGAAAGAAAGAAAGAAAGAAAGAAAGAAAGAAAGAAAGAAAGAAAGAAGGAGAAGACTTTCTTTTCTGGGTTGAATGAAAATGAATACACAACAAACCCAAACTTATGGAACACAACGAAGGCAGTTAACAGCACTAAGTACCTAAGTTTTTAAAAAGCTGGAGAGATCTCATACTAACAACTGAAACTAACACACCTGAAAGCTCTAGAACAAAAAGAAGTAATCACACCCAAGAGGAATAAATGGCAAGAAATAATCAAACTGGGGGCTGAAATAAATAAAATAGAAACAAAAAAAGCAATACAAAGAATCAATGAAATGAGTTGGTTCTTGAAGAAAATCAATAAGATTGACAAATTCTTTTCCAAATAAACTAAAGGTCAGAGAGATGAAGAAGATACAAATTAATAAAATTAGAAATGAAAACGGGGACATGACAACAAAGACTGAGGAAATCCAGAGAATCATAAGGGCATTCTTAAAAAAAAGAAATGGCTTTTCTTGACACATACCACTCACCAAAGTTAATTCAAGATCAGATAAGCAATTTAAACAGACCTATAACCCCTACTGAAATAGAAGCAGTCATTAAAAGTCTTCAAACCAAAAAACAAGCAAACAAACAAAAACAAAACAGAAATACACACTGGAAAAAAAGACAGCATCGTCAATAAACATTGCTGGTCAAACTGGATGGCTGCATTTAGGAGAATCCAGGTAGATCTATACTTATCACTCTGCACAAAACTCAATTCCAAATGAACCAAAGACCTCAACATAAAAACCAGACGCACTGAACCTAACAGAAGAGAAAGTGGCGACTAGCCCTGAATTCATTTGCACAGGAAAAGACTGTGAGCAGAACACCATTAATTAGCACAGGAACTAAGATCAACAAAAAATGGGACCTCATGAAGCTGAAAAGTTTCTGCACAGCAAAGAATACCATCCTTTGGGACAAAGTGGAAGCCTGCTATTGTGGATATGTTTTGTTTTGGTCCCAGGTGTGGGATGTGGGACTGATTGCGATGGTCCACAGCAGCAGACTATTTGCTTTATTGTGCTCTGAGAGGAACTCTTTGCCAGCTGCAGATAGTTTGAATCGGAGGACTCTGGAGAGAGGATAAATGCCAGAGCCAAGGGAGTGGCGACAAGAAAGAACAAGGCTGCTCCTGCTTTCCCCTTGCTGCTCCTAGTTGTTGTGAAACAAGAAGATGGAGATCTCCTGAAACGAGGATTGGACTGGTTCCAAGGAACCCGACCCTGACCATCAGGAAGCAGCTAAGAAAGAACTGCAACCCATCCCACTAACCCTTTCTCTCTCCTACCTGGTTTTGAAGTGTTGGAAGGGATTGGAGTGGAGTAGGGAGAAGATAGGAGAAATATAAATAAGAGTTTTTAAAAACTAATGCCTACAGTCTACAGAATGGGAAATTTTATTTTTACCCAACTACACATCCTATAGAGGGCTACTAACAAAATATATAAAAAACTCAAAAGACAAAGTGTCAAGAAAACAATTAACCAAATTAAAAATGGGATACAGATCTAAATAAAAAAATTCTCAAAAGGGAACAAAATGGTGGAGAAACATTTAGTGTTCAACATCCTTAGCCCAAGATCCACAGAACAAGTGACAGATCATGATGTCGAGGATATGAAGTAAGAAGAACACTCATACATTGCTAGCAGGAGTGCAAATTCATATAGCTACTATGGAAATCAGTGTGGTGGTTCCTCAGGAAGATGTGAATCAATCTGCCTCAGACCCAGCTATACAACTCTTGGTCACAGATCAAGGCTGCTTCATCCTACCACAGACACCTCTGCTCAAGCATGCTCATTGCTACTCTATGGTCACAATATGCAGTTACTGAAAACAACCTAGATGTTCCTCAACAGAAGAATGGATAAAGAAGAAGTGGTACAGTTACACAATAGAGTATCACTGAGCCATTAAAAAAAAAATGGTATCATGAATCTGCAGTAAATGGCTGGAACTAGAAAAAAACATCCTGCGTGAAGCGGTATCCCAGACCCCGAAAAATAAATATGGTATGCATTTGCTTATATGTGGACATTAGCTGGTGCCTACACACAGCCTTCCCCTGCGTTCCAGCGTCTTCGGTACAGGAAGGTACTCTGCACACCATCAAAAGAGAAACACCATAATAGCCACAGACCTTTTATCTACAATGATGTATATATGATAGGGTACTGGTGGTGTGAAACTTGTGGGAGCAACCAATAAGGGATTTGACTTGAGGTCCATTTCATGAGATGTAACCAATACCCAACACTGCTTGGGTGACCAAGAATCCGAAGGTAGAGAGCCCAGGGTCCTTGGAGAAAATCAAATACTACTGTTGTAAACAACCCCCAAAATGTAACAGTAAAATGGTTCTTAATGGCTGGGCAGCGGTGGCACACACCTTTCATCTCAGAGCTCGGGAGGCAGAGGCAGGCGGGTTTCTGTGTCTAAAGCCAGCCTGGTCTACAGAGTGAATTTCAGGAGAGCCTGGACTATACAGAAACCCTGTCTTGAAAGAAAGGAAGGATTCCCAATGACATTCTGCCCTACTCCTAGAGCAGGGTCTTGCTCATCTATCACCAGAGGAGATGGGAATATAGAGACCCACCGTGTGATTTCACAGAAATTTCAGTGTGAAATCTGTGAACACTTAGCCCTAAATGGGATGTTATCATCCAATCCTTCCTCTCAGAGCTCAGGGAGAGGAGGCAGAAAGTGTGCAAGAGCCAGGACACCAAGGAAAAAAGACCCTCTAAGTCAACATGATCAAAAATGAAATGAACTCACAAAGACTGAGGCAGCGTGCACGGGGCCTGGGTGTATGAACAAGTGGGTCTCTGATTCTTGTGCCTTCTCTTGGGTTCTTTTCCTTCTGTTGGTTTGTCTTGTCCAACTCTGGAGTGATTTTTGTTTTATATTATTGTATTTTGTTATACCTTTACTATGGTAAAGGTTAACAATTGAAGTGTCATTTATACCATCTGAAAGTGATTTTTGTTTTATACTATTGTTTTATTGTACCTTTACTATGGTAGAGATTGACAATTGACCTGTTATTTACAGTAGCTGGGAGAGGAAAAGTCAGTTTTCTCCAATAAAGATACTCTAGGTGTATTAACCACTCCAGGACAGGCCTCATGTTCAGTAGCTGACCACGATATGATGGACTCCACACTTTGTTTGGTTACAGTTTGGTGGTTTGTTGTTTGTTTTTTTTTTTTTTTCATTCTTTTGGAGATAGTTGTATTGGGTTTTTGTTTTTGAGAAAGAACTTAAAGTTGGGTGTTTATCGAGAGGGAAAGGATCTGGAAAAATTTGGGGAAGAGGAAATATGATAAAATATACTTAAATTTAATGATTGTTTTAAATAATAAAAAGCAAAAAGAAAGGAAGGAAAATAGAAGCCCTGTATAGCCCAGCTCCAAGGCCATGCCACTCCTGGTGGTAATGCATGCTCAAACAGAAGTCTACCCTGCTGAGTCAAAGGAAAGCACTGTGCTGGGGGCAGCTGGGATGCCCAAGGTCAGAGGACAGATGGCAGAAAAGGTCCCTTCACCAGCAAAGCTGGTAGCAATCTGGAGCTAGTAATAGTGACTGCAGCACCGTGGGAGGGAGAAGGAATTCCCACTGCTGTAGTTGAAAACAATCCTGTGGGCACCCAGGAACCCGCCTGCTGTCCAAGCAGGTCTTGAGGCTGTGAGCTTTGACCTCTGCAGTGCGTCATTTCTGCTCCGCGTTGGCCTGTCACTGGGCTCGGAGACGAAGCCCCATGCTCTGAAGCCCCGCTCCCCAGAGTGAAGTCAGTTCTGCGTGGACTCTCTGTTTCAGTGGGTCTCAACCTTCCTAATGCTGTGACCCCTTAGTACAGTTCATGTTGTGGTGACCCCCAACCATAAAATTATTTTCATTGCGACTTCATAAACCTAACTTTGCTAATATGAATTATATTGTAAATACGTGCTTTTAGATGTCTTAGGTGACTCCTATGAGTGGGCTGTTTGACTCCCAGAGGGGCTGAGGCTCACAGGCTGAGAAACGCTACTACAGGGGTTCTCTGATGCCTGACGAAATCTAGTTTTAGATGTTGATTCTGCAGGTATTAATCTGGTAGTCAAGTGTCAAAGGGCTGTGCAGGGCACTGGGCTCCGCAGGGGTGCAGGAGCACTGGGCCAGGTTTCAGGTCTCCACTGTGGACAGTCCATTTCACTCCCGTGAGTGGGAAGTGCCTTCCTGCACGCTGCCTGGAGTTGAGGGACAGCTGCTGCGGGCAACTCTGCCCCTCCCCCCACCGACGGATCTTGCTTTGGTGCAGTAACTGCGGGCACTGTGGGCTCTTCTCACTCCCTCAGTCTGAGGAGGTTCAACTGGGTGTATGTGGGAGAAGCACTGATTAGCAGACAAACTCAGCTGCTGCCGTTACCCAGCCTGAACGTCACCTTTTTCTTTAATAAGTTTTGCTTTCACGGAAATCTATCTGTGTAGCATGTACACTCTGCAAGACCACAAGGAAATGTTTGACCCTCTGGAGCTACAGATACAGATAGCTGTTAGCTGTCGTGCTCAGCGTCAAGTCTAGTCCCCTAGAAGGGCAGGCAAAGCTCCTAATGGCTAAGCCATCTCGGCAGTGCCCTTACCCTCATACCTTTTTAAAACCCAAATCCATCTTTTAGTTTTGAATGTTAGATCTTCTTAAGGTGAACTTCATGACACAAAAGTCAAAAGGAATCAAGTTAATCCATTAGACTTAAGCATAAAGGAGTCATAAAGCACCCTATTTTACAAAGATTTTCAGTTTAAAAAAACACCTGAGACATTAATATATTGTTGACCTTCATTTTTATTTAAATATATTCACCTTCAAAGGGAGGAAACTACACAGCAAATATTTTATATAAATGTAAACATGCATGTCTACATCAGAATTAAGCAAAATAAAATTTTAGGCACAAGATTTTAAATATTAAAGGAGATAAGGAATCTAAGACTGAAATAACAGGAAACAAAGACATACATTTCCTAACATTTGAGTTGGTCTTTGAAGCTACTGTTTAAGGCCTGAGTTTCAGAAAGTCTATGTTCCTTGCCAAGTGGAAAGATCCAGCTTGGCTGTTAATACATAGCTATAAAACAAATAATTCTCTTTCAAAATAATGCAATAAATATCACACACACACACACACACACACACACACACACACACACACACGAGCTAAACCATACTCTGAAAAAAGGGAAGGAAGGATTTTGGAACTTTCAAGTTTCCCTATTACTAGAGCACACCACCCACAGAGAAGATTATTCTGCTACAGGAAGAAGCTAACCAGTGGTATTATTACAAACCTCTAGTTTATCTGTATTGCGTTTTCCCATTGCTTTCTAAGATTGCCATGGCATCTCTGTAGAATTAGTCCTTCCGCCTCACCTAAGTGGCCAACATTGCATAGAGCAAATAAAAGGTCATTTAAAATTCAGTAGAGACCTGTGTGGGTTTCTCAGCTTTGCCTCAATGCCTGCAGTGTTCCCCTACGTCCTTCACTGTTTAGTTGTCTCAGCCTCTTCCCCAACTAGGCTAGGAGCACCTGCATGTGCAGTTCCATGATGACAGCCCCTACTTCCGAGGCGCTAACACCAACCAAAGATCAGGTAGGAGAAAGGCAGTTTGTATGTTTATCAGAGCATACCCATAGGTTGAAAAAAATGAAGAGTGTGTAAAGATGGTGCCTCAAGAGCTCTGGTGAGAGGTTTAGAGTGGGCAAAGAGGAGGGGACAGTAAAGGCACAGACAGGAAGGAAGTCCTTTGGTTGGCATAAGGATACCCCTGAGAAGCCATCCAGGAGACTACATTCTGGATTTCAAAATACAGCTTTCTTACTCTGGGAGGGGATGGGTGGGAGGGAACGGAACCACCCAAAGATTTGTGTGAAGAGCAGACACGGGAGCCAACTGAAGAATGACGTGTGGTGCTGGGTAGGCCAGGTGACGGGGTAATCTGGGGCTCAAAAGCCCCATGCCACATGCAAATACTTCCTATAGAAAGTCACTGACCAGCTTGCCAGCACCACAGTTCTGTCTACACAAACCAAGGCTTTTGGGGAAAAGCTGGGCAAAGGGAGACTTATATAGGCATTTTTAGTTCAAGTTCCTGGAGCCTGTCCCAGTTTGAACAGGTTAAGAGCAGAAAAACAATTCAATTCCCACATCCAGTGACAACTGAAGTCACCGAACCACAACCTTCTCCTTCCCTGAGCTGTCATTACCAAAGATTCATAAAGCAATTATCAGTTTTCCATAAACAGGTTCCCACCTGTCACTGGATCCACTGAGCATCTCCCACCTCCCACCAGCTGAGACCTAGCACAGGGGACCAGTGTGTGCCCTGTGCCTGAGCTTTGGCCAGAGTGCTGTAGATGGCTGGATAATGGCCTCTGCCCCATCTCAGCTCACATCAATCTCGGTGGGGATCAACTAGTTGACTCTAATCGGAGCTCCTACCGTGGACCATCCATTTCCTTTCTAGGTCCAGACCACCCTCCTCCACTACCTCGGGAGGAAAAGGGTGTGTGAGTGGAGGAACGGAGGAAAGAAAAGCATTATTAATGTCTTAAAGCGATGACAAATCTCCTAGGATATATTCATTCAGACTATAAAGATGGCAGCCACAGTTAAGTCACCACATACTTCCTCAGGGTGGAACATTCACTAGTGACCAGTTTCCAGCAAGAACAGTCATTTGGAAATAGCACACTGCAAAAGGCCATCTTGTGATTCTCTTCTACAAAAATACCACTCAGACTGGGAGTCAGGCACAAACAGCAGCATGAAAGCACAAACAGAGCTTATGAAGAATGTTCTGTACTGCAGAACTCCTGTCTGGGTTCTCATCTGTGAAGGCTTGCTGCTGGTTCCTCTGTTCAGGATTCTTCACTGCATCCATCTTTGATCCCCACCCTTTGCTAACATCCATGGAATGAGGAACAACCTAGGGATGGATCCACGGGAAACCAAAGCCTCAGGGGAGCTGAGGATGTGTGTCAGTGTGGTGGCTGCTGCTTTATCTGCTTACTCTGCCTCACATACGCAGGAACAGCATGAGTCTGAATTCAAGTTGAACGCCAGCATCACTTTTGTCTTTTGAACTCCAACAGAAAGTTCCGTGCAGCAGAATCTGACGGCAGCAATTGTTCATATGAGGAAGTAGTGAGCAAGCCTGCCCTAGGGGAGGTGACTGGCCATTCCTTTTCCTAGCTGGGCTGGGCTGAGCTATTGGCTCTCCAGCACACACACACACATAACCCAACTGACCCAAAGACTCTGCCAAGGCCAGCTTCTATGGTCTTGTCAAACTGGGTCACACAAAAGTTCCTTAACATTTTGTGTCAACCATGCAAAGTGGTCTTAATGTATTTCTATGACACAGCTTGAGGATCCCCTTTCCTCCCACACCCCTCAAAGACTTTGTTTTACTGAAGAGACTCCCTGACCACACTGAGGGCTGCTGAATTACTGGCCTGGTGAAGACATGGGCTTTGACTGACCTAGACCAGGGGGCGTTGGCCTGTTTTTCATTAATAGTGTTAACCAAATAAAACAGAACTGTTAGTTCTCCTAGAGATCTACTTAAACTCTGAAACAAGAGCTTATTCAAGAATTACATGAGAAAAATCACCCACCACCACCAAGTTAAAGACTGAGTATCTGAGTACTTCCAGGCCTTAACTCCTCCTACGGGCTCTGCTCCGCAACATCCTCCTATGACACCGAGTCCTGGCAGAAGTAGCTGGGTCTTGCAGCATGTTTGCGTACCAGAAAACAGATTTCAAAAGGCAGGTGCTAGTCATCACTGTCACTGCCAGACTCACTTAACTGCAGGTCATTTCCTACGAAAGAAAACAAAATCAAGCTGAAAGCCTGTTAATGACTTCCTGTTAAGGCTCCTCGGCCTTCTCTACTCTCCTATCTACAGCATAGCTCATGACACTTTAATATGCTCATATTTTGACTCACTTAAAACATAAAAGACTTCCTTAAAATTCTTTGGCTGGCTGCTCTGCTACCACATCACAGTACAAGCTTGCTAATCAGGGCTAGAGATATGGTTCAAAGGTTAAAAGCACTTGTTGCTCTTGCAAAAGACCCAGGTTGGATTCCCAGCGCCCATATGGTGGCTCACAACCATTTGTAACTCCAGTTCCAGGGGGAACAATGGCCTTTCTGACTCCTTAGGTACCAAGGCATTGTACAGCCCTGTCAGAAAGAACTAACCAGCCTGGAATGTGCACAGTGCTGAGACTAATAAACAATGTCTGCCTGAGCCACACTGCAGAGTTAAGGTCTGCAACCCCACCTCCACTGCCAACTCCTCAAAGGAAGACAGCCAGGAGAGAGACCATTCACAATGCAAGTTTCCAGAGACAGAGAAAGAGAGCAGAATTGCCCCACTCTCTAACAAAGCCAGCTTCATTCTGGCTTTCCTCTGTTTTATATCAACTGTAGTAAAAGCTATCCAAACATGGTAACATTCCTTCTTTTCTTTTGCCAAAGGCTAGGTGTCCAAAGAGAGGTGATAGGTTAACTTTTACAGGCCAGGAGGGAGGCAATGGAGGCAGGCCATGTTTTAAACCTGGTATACAGAAAACCAAAGAGCCTACACAATCAAGTTTAAGCATTCAGAAATCACAGCCACAAGTAAAGGGAAAAAGAAAGAAACCAGTCTGTCCTGGTCAACACCCCTTCCTGTGCCCTAAATGCATGTACTTTATAGGTTCTAACACCCGGTAACAGACGCTGCACACGCCCTCCCTGCCTCAGCTGACAAAGGAGGAACCACTTACTGAGCGTGTTCATGAGCTGAGAGCTTCCCTGGGGCCGGCTGGTTCCATTGGTGACCGCAGGCCTGCTGTTGTAGGGCTGCTGGTGTGAAGGCTGGGGAGGAGAGGCTGGGCCGTTGTCCTCTCCTCCACTGCTGGAGCTGTCATCATCACTTCCAGAGGAGCTCTCGGAGTCGGAGGAGCTGCTCCCGCTGCTGCTGCTCATCTGCTCGATAATCTCCACCTCAGCCCTCAGCTCTGCAAAGACATGGCTCAGGGATGAGAGGAGGCTTCTACAAACAGTGAGCTGACAAAACCAACTGAGGGATTCCAATCCTCCCTGCTTCCCGAGAAAGTACACTGAGCCCCCAAACAGACAAGAAGACCTACTCTGTCTCCAGGGCTGATGGGAATACTGAATTCACCAAAATAAACAAAAGGTAGACCTGTTTCAGAATGACTCTTCTGCATAAAAAACACATCAAGCTTATTAATCATTTCCTTAAATGAATCTCTGATCTGGGTGTGGTGTGCGCCATAATGCTAGCAGTCGGGTAGTAGAGTTAGGAAGATCTTGAATTCAAGACCAGCCTGGGTTACAGAGGGAGGCCGTGGTATAGACAAGCAAACAAATAATGAGTTATTGTTATAAAAAACAAACAAACAAACAAAAACAAAACAAGTGAAAAGTATAGAAAAACATTTATCTAACAAGTGGAAGACTGGGGCTTAGTTTGGATCCTCCTGTTTCTCTCTGTCGTAGTGATAACAACTCTGACAGAAGCACCGAGCAAGGATTTATCCTGGCTCACAGTTCCAGGCACAGCCCGTAAGGGAAGTGACAGAGGCAGGAGCGTGAGGCACTGAGCCACTCTACATCACAGTCAAAAGCGGAGCAACCAAAGCCTGTGCTTGCTCACTTTCTCCTCTTCACAGGGAATGGGGCTGCACACTTGAGTGCATTTTCCTACCTCAATCAGACAGTCCCTCAAAGCCACGCCCAGAGGCTGACTAACCCTTCACAGGAGTGCCCAGAGCCTTGTCCCTAGGGACCCTGTCAAGCCAACAATATCACCACTGCTGAAGAGTGGTCAATGCAGACGGACTGTCTAAGCCGCCAAGAAAAAAAATGGCTGGATACCTGAGTCAGCCCAAGACCTTTCTGACTCCCACAGAAGCCCGTGAGAGACACCCTGGCCAGGGAAGGCAAATGCTGCAATGTCATTCGCTCTTTTGACTCACACATTTGATTCATGGTTGTGCTTGTCAGGCTCTGCATTCTTCATGGATGTAAAGCAGAGGTGGAAAAAACATGTTTTCTCTAACCAATCCAGTGTCCCTGAATACATACGTGGAGGGAACATCACAATAGCTATAGATTTTCCTGTCCAAACACCACCATGGCCTTACACGGCTATGGCTCTTTGAAGAGTGACTGGCAACAACTGGCTACTTTTGACCCAATTCCTATTACACTACAGTGGGAAAGTCCACAATGGCATTCTAGAATCAGAAAGGGAAAATAATCAAGAGGTGTAGCAGCTGTTCAAGGCTCAGGGTGACTGTGTTTGTGAGAAGGCAGGATTTCTACAGGATGAGAAAGGCAGACTCCCAGGAACACGCCATCAACCCCTCCCGTTTTTAACTATTAGGGATTGCATCTATCTGTTCCACAAATGTGAAATACAATGCTGAGTCCCACAGTGCCTGAGAGTCTGGTAAGCTTGTCTCGAGTCTGCAAAAGAATGGCCCAAGCCAGACCTCTAAGTCCCCTGGGCCAGATTTCATCCCACTGGCCTCTCAGGGCCTTTCAGAATTACTTGCTTTGGGACAGCAAAGAGTATCTAAGCTTGGCATTTTAAGAATTCTCTTAATAAAGCAATTACATTTGCATACATAAATGATAGATGAGCTCAGAAGCTCTACCTGGGAGTCTTAAAGCCCTGTAAAGCTTTGGCTGACAGTGACACTTATTTAAACCCTAAGCTTCTAAGAAGAATGCTGCCAAGACAACCATACTCAAGCAACCACTCCTGGCTTCCTTCTTGCCAAATGATGTACGTGATAAAGTCTCAGCCCTCACCTGCTCAGAGCAAGGAAGTCCGGTGAAATGGCTGTAAGGTAGTGAGCTCTGTGAGCTCCTCCAGAGGACGAGGTGTGACCTCTACCCTACCCCGCATGCCAGCCTGGCCCTGGCTCTCTACCTCTTTTGATGTCATCCAGCTGGGGCTCAGGAGAGGGGTTATCCTTCAAGGGAGAAGTTTTGGGTCCAGCTGGAGGCTTCGTCGGGGCTCGGAATGGCATGGGTGGTGGTGGAGGGGGTGGCTGGGGTGGCTGTGATGGCTGTGGGGGTCGAGTGGGCTGCTGTTCCATTCGGGCTTGGATTTTACTGCTCCCCTCAGCTCTGAAATTAAACCAAGAGGCAAACAGATGAGCAAGCACACGGGCAGTGTCTGCAAAATGACATCTTTGTAGCGTCACCATGAGAATGCATTCAACATCCACCTGTCAACTGTATACCAGAACTGTATTACATGTCAGTGACACAGTCAACAAAATGACCCTCTGATTCCAAAGAGCTTGCCTTTTTTTTTTTTTTTTTCCCTGAGTCAGAGTCTAGCTATGTCCTCCAGGATAGCCTCAGCCTAGAATTCAAGATCCTTTGCCCTCCCTCAGCCTTCCAGGAGCCAAAATTACAGATGTGCCAAATCCAGTATAAGCTAAGCAAGGAGATAAAACACAGACACAATATGTACATAAGGTCTGTAAACATTAAATGCCTGCAGGTTTCGGAATAAACTAGATTATCAACTAGCCTAGTGTTTAAACTTTAGCACCTGCACAAATCCCCTGGAGGGACCTGCAGGCTCTGACCTAGTAAGTCTGGAGATTCTGTGAGCATAACAAGTATCCAAGAGCTATGCTGCTAGTCCCCAAACCACAGAGTAAGAAGGGACAGAGCACCACCCGGTGTCGCAGCAGCAGCAGCTTTACTATAGGCCTTGATGCAAGGCGACAAAGGGGCAGGACAGACACAGGCACTCCGCCTGGGCTGGGGTCTCGGCTCTAGCAGTCAAATCAGGTAAATCACAATTTCTGTAATCCCCAGTCTCATCCCCTCCCTCGAAGGGAGCGGCAGCTTTCTAAATTACTGGTAAAGATTGGGTAACACTTCTAAAGCATCCAGCATATTGGCCCACCATCTCAATAAAGAAGCTCTGTTTCCTTTTCTAGTGAAATGAGTGAAAGAAAAATGGAAACAGAAATCAAGTTGTAATAGTCTCTCAAAACTTAATTAGTGGACTTGTGACTTAGCTTAGTGTAAGAGCACTCACCTACCATGTACACAGCTCTGAATCGAATGCCATGTACCCTCCCACACAAGAACCTTAATCACCATCTTCAATGATTACTCTATTGCAGTGTATTTATATAGTGAACTGACTTTCAAATAAACTCCAATGTTGAATGACCTATTAAGAAATTTCACTATTTAAAAAATTAGGACACATTTTATTTTTGTAATTATTTTTAAATTATATTTTTATTTATACTACGCCTTCTACCATGTGGTCCTGAAGACTGAACTCAGGTCGCCTGACTTGGTGGCAAACACCTTTATGCACTGAGCAATCTTGCAACACCGTTTTTTGTTTTTGTTTTGAGACAGGGTCTCATGTAACTCAGACTAGCTTCCAACTCATTATGTAGCTGCAGATGGCCTTGAACTCTTGATCCTGCTGCCTCTAACTTTCAAATGTTGGGAGTACAGGTATGATCCACCATACTCGGTTGGCAAGGTTTTATTTTGATAGTACAGTCACTTCAAGTATATCCTGATTTACAAAGCAGTAATTTCCTCTAATAAAGTTATGCAATTATTTTGTAATTTTAAGTCTATATATATAATAAATCGATAACCCCTACTTGGTAGTATAAGAGCAATTAAGAGACTGACAAAACTGGCTCAATTCTAAGTACCTTGTTTTCCCCAGTTACTTCATGTTTTAGCTCTTAAAAGCATTCTTTCTCTACTATATGTGAGGAAAGTGTACATTTTATTATTGATGTGTCTGAGACAGGAATGGCTAACACTACTGATGGAAGACTATGAGCAAGCAGATGTTCACACCTGTATAAAACTGGACAAACTGTCACAAGGATTCAGAATCATTTAAGAATATCCTGCAGGAGAGCACCTGCTAGCACGTGAGACCCTCGTTTTGATCCCACAGTGCAGGAAGGGAGGGCACGGAGGTCAGCCATACCTTGTCTTCTTGACCTGAATGCTGCTGCTGAGCTTCTCCAGCACATACTCTCCAGTGTCATGATTAATAATGAGCACACAGTCTTTCTGATAAGGCCGTTTGTTCCCTTTGAACACCGTCATTGGTGGTGTGGACCCCTGTGTGCCACAAAAATATAAACATAACAGTTCTGACTCGCCCACCTTTATAAGGGACACTGGCTCATCCCATCCTTCACCAGAGCCACTCAGACTGATCTCTGTTTTAACTCCTCTGGCTTTCTTTCCAGGCAAAAGGAAAGGAGCAGTCAAGCATCTAGTTTTAGGTAATCAAGAAGTGTAGCATAAAAATTTTTGAGTAATAGGCACATTTATAAGGGTATGGGGAAGTACTTCAAAGAACAGCAATGCACGACCTGAGAAGAGTTAACTTTCCCCTACACTACACAGAGCTACACTGTAACTGGTTAGACTAGGGAGTGATCTCTCTATTTCTTTACAATTGAAGGACCCAGGGCTTGCCCCCTCACGCAAATGACCAACACAACATTCTCCAAGAGCAGCCCATCAGCCTGGTGAGAAGAGACTACCTCATGCTAATCATCTACCTTTCAACAGCTCTGATGTTGCTCTCAGGCCAAAATCTTTAAATCAGCCCCCCTGGCTCCAGCAACCATCTCTGGGCTCTGTAGTCTTTAGAAAGCAAGGGTCTCTTGTTCCTGCCTCAGAGCTTTAACTGGCCTTCTGCCTGCTATATTTTGACACTGTTTACTATATATTCCTATGTTTAAATTCCAGATCCTAAGCTGCACAAAGGCCAGAAATGTAATTGTTTAGTTTAAAGTTAATTCTTAGAGTCTAGTAATGGGCTAGTACACTGGACACTGATTTAATATTTGTCAAATACAGGATTTGTTGTTTAGAACTAAAAAAAAAAAAAAAATTGTTTGTATCTTCAACCCCTTATTTGCACAGTAAAGACTTAGGTTTGAAAGGGACCTTAGGGACCATTTACCTCACCCCTTCATTTTTCATTTGGGAAACTAAGGTCCAATGGGAAATGATGTAATTTGCCATGAGTAACTTGTAATAAAATATGAGCTCAAATGAACAGAATGTTTTTCCTCAGCTCAGTTTCCAGGTTTTGCTGTACAGACTCTGTACTCTGCCACCAGTTACAGCGAGCTTTCTCAGTGTTTGAGGCCAGAGCTGTGAAATGTGCTAAGAGCCTCTTCTGTTTTAACTTTGTCTTGTATGTGTGTGGCATGCATGGATGTGTGCCTTTCCCTGTGCATGAGATGTGTGTGCAGATGCATGTATGCACACATGCAGCTGGAGGCGCACAGCTGACATCAGGCACCTTCCCCGATCACGCTTCACTTTTGAGGCAGGGTCTTTTGATAAACCAACTAAGCCTCGCTAGCCAACCTGCCCCAGAGATACCCCATTCTTGCCTGTTACACGTGGGATCGCTGGCAGCTGCCATGCCTGCCCAGCTCTTTACGTGCCTCGAGGCACCCAAACTCCAGTCCTCATGTTTGTATACTTTACTCACTCAGCCATCCCTCATTCCAAAGTATTTTTAATAACCAAAGTGCTGCCCTGAAGAGCGCTTTATGTCTTTTCTTCCAAGTCTTTGGTGCAGCTTTTACCTGAGTTCTTTACCCCTAAATCAGTTGAGTGTTCCGAACCTTTGGTTCCTGCCTGGGACCATCAGTATACACTGGATCCCTTACTAAATAAAAAGATGTCCCTATGGCTCCTGGCCTGCCCTCTGGTTGCCCTACGTTCAGGAGCTGCTATGGCTACACAGGGCGCTTAGGGCCTTTCTCTCCAGAACTGTTTGGGATAAATGCTACCTATGTCTAGCAGAGGGGCCACTGTGCAGATGGAACCTTGACTTCTGTACTGTATACTGGAGGAAGGGAGGGTCAGGAACAAGGACAGAGAACTACCTTAAACCAAACCCCAAGATACATAAGTAGCTACCCACCAGACCCCTAAATTCCTATTTTACTTATGTTGGCTCTTTACAAATTAAAAAGATTTAACTAGAAGAAGACTCGAACTGTAAATAAAGCACAAGGGTTTGTTACATCAGACCACCAACAATGGAAACAACTTACAGGGATATGCGGCAGCGTAATTGTGACTTCATCTCCTTTGCCAACATGGAGCTCCCCTTCACAGGAAGTATCTATCGATGCTGGCTTAAAATCATCTGAAAGGAAACAATGAAAATTTCCCACTGGGTGACTGACAATAAGGACTTCCTGGGTATTTTAATTTCAGCATTAAAAAATTTTATTACATAAATAAAAATGGTTGCAGATTCTTTCGTGTGTGTGTGTGTGTGTGTGTGTGTGTGTATGTGCAGGGGTGCATGTATACATGCATGCATATCTCTGCAGGTATCTATGGAGGACAGCCTTGTTTGTTGAGACAGGGTCTCTCACTGGCCTGCAGCTCCCTGCACAGGCGAGGCCAGCCGGTCAGCGAGTCCCCAGTGATCCTTCTGCCTCAGTGTCTCCAGCACTGGGTTATAACTGTTTACCACCGCACTGGGGCACTTTCACGTGGGTTTCGGGAGTCCAACTTGGATACTCACACTTTCATAGCAAGTACTTCACAAACTGAGCCAACTCCCCAGCCCATCATTTAAAATTCTAAAATATTTCGTCATAAAAAACTTCATATACACAAAAGTAGAGAGAATAGTACAATGAGTCCCAGATGCCCTGATCCAACTCAATAATTGCCAACTCAGGAACATCTCTACAGTCTGCCTACAGCTACACTATCATGTTAGTGCAGGAACCTGGGACTGACACACCCTACTGTTAATGCAAGATAGCCCCTTCCTCCAAGTGACAGGTAACAGTTAACATTTCACCGGCCATAAGACACTAAAACTGTGCACGTAAAAGCAGCAGAGCAAACATTCTTAACTATAAATCTTACATGAGATGCAGGAGGCCACATGAGGTTGACTTCCTTTTGCACAGAAATGTTCAATAATGTAACTTGCCATACTCAAGTTCTTTCATTTTAAAACAAAACAAAACAAAACATCTGGATATGTTCAGAAGCAGACTGATGAACTCCAGAAGTTATTCTGTAAGTTATCCTGCTTATTCTAGCAAACTACACTTACACAATAGGAATTAGCCACTTAACTTCATATTAACACACACCTGCCTCACACTGCAGGCCAAGTATACAGGTGCATAATCTCACTTAAACTTATACTGCCCTTCGGTGCAGGGAAAACAAAAACAAAAACCTTCTCAACTCAAGAAATGATAATTTTTTCATTTCCCTACTGTCTTTTTGAAACAGCTGGATCTGCTGTCAGTGGGAAGCGCAGACACAACACAGCAAGTGGCCACGCAAAGGTGGAACTTTAATATCTGACACACCCCCTTCCTATGTGTTGAGTCATGTCTGTTAGCTCCCATGACAAAGCACGTCTTAACCAGTGTTAATGCTACCGGAAACCAGAAGCCTGTGAATCACAGAGGGATGTACTCAGTCAGCCAAATCTACTCAGGATACACAGTGGAAGCACCCTCTCAGAGTCTATAATCATGTAGAAAAAGGACCAACATAATGACTATTTCCACATTCCTTATGCTGCTGTTTTCCAAACATACTCAAGCTTTAGCTTATGCCAGATCCACAAACTCTAATCTTATTCTTCACCAAGGGAGTTGGCCCAGAAGTCAAGGTGGTGTAGGTGACCTAAAGACATTAACGTCTGCTAGGGTGTGGTGGATCATACTCATAATGTCAGCACCACACACGCGTGGCCAGGGGGACTGCACCATGTTCAAGGCTGGTTCTAGGCCAGCATAGCCTATAGTAAGGCACTGTCTCAAACAGCAGCAGACACAACAAAAACCACTGTCAAAAAGAAACACAGAAAGAGGAAAAGAAAACATTACAGGTGGCACAAAGAAGCCGGATTCCCTGACTGTAGAGGAGACCGAGAGCAAGGGGAAAGGAAAGCAAAGAAAGGAATGGAGTAAACGATGCTCGTGGCAAACGGGAAGTCTTTTCCAGGTCGAGGGCTCTAATGGAATAATTCGACAGAGAAGGGAACAGAAGGGAGGAGAAAGGGGCCTCGCTCCAAACGAGTAAGGTTTGACTCAAGGGCTGGGAAGGGGATTTGAAATAAAGGGTCCAAGAGCTTCTGGAATGGTTTGAGACCATAAGGTAAACGAATAGTTGGTTGGCCAGCGCGGTGGCGCACACCTTTAATTAGCACTAGAGAGGCAGAGGCAGGAGGACAACTGTGAGTTCATGGCCAGCTTGGTCTACAAAATGAGTCCAGGGCAGCCAAGGTTACACAGAGAAACCCTGTCTCGAAAAAAATAATTGGTTGGCAGCAACGAGAGGTTTGGTTTGGGAAGAGCAATCTGAAGATAAAAGAACAAGATCGAAGTCCCAGAGGATCTGGGGTGACAGAGGCTTTGGAGAGCCGAGGTTAGACAGGAGGGAGTCTGGGCTGGCACGTGGCGGCCAGAGAGGCCGAAGTGAACCGCGAGGAGCGCTCACTCACAGCGAATGGTGTGGAAGGAGGCCCGCGGCCGTTTCTCGAAGCTCTCCCCAAGCCGCAGGCAGTGCTCCTCCCGGTCCAGCAGCGGGTTCGCCGTGCCGTTCATGGCCTTGCACTTGCCTGGCACCCGGATCGGCGCCCTCGTCGCGCGGCCGCAGTCCCGGATACCCGCGCCAGCAGCTCGCAGGACCGCGCTCCCGGGACACTGCGGAGCGCGCACCGAGCCAAGTCCGCGCCCACGCGGGGCCGGAAGCCAGTCTACACCGCGTCCGGGGACGCTCTGAGGAAGTAAGGCCGCTGCACTTCCGGCATCGGGGAGGGACTTCCGGTTCCCCAACGGAAATAGCGGGAGCAGTGCCATAGAGAGGGGATTCTTCGGGGAAACTGCTGCGGACAGTCTTGGGGGATATCTGGTCTAGTCTCGGGAAGTTTACACGTCGGCTAGGAAACTCTACCCTTGATGCCTGGGCTTGACCGACAGGTGAGTGCCCCCCTAACTCATCCTTCGCTGGTGACCCACCCTGTGAACTGATGGCCGGGAGCCCAGAGCGTGGGGAGCTGAGTGAACGTTGGTACGAATGGCCCGTGACATGCCCGAGACCCTGGCGACCTAGTTTATCCTGTGGGTCCTGAGAGAGGTGACGGTCCGGGACCTCAGCCACCCGGCCCTCGGACCCTCCCCCTACTTCGTTCCTTGGTTGCGGTCTGAGGGTCTTAGTTCTTGGCTGGCGTCGTCGCCTCCTTCAGTTGTAGGTGCGATCAGAAACTCCGCCCTCTCCGGATCAGCTCTGTCACCTCCGAAAACATGAAGGTCCTAACGCACCGCGATCCCTCTTTTGTCTGGCAGTCGTCTACCCGCTTTGTTAGGGCGGTTGTTGCCGTTGTTCTGAAGTCACATTTTCCACGGGCACTGAACGTTGACGAGAATTTTCTTCTCACATTTTGTCAGTCAATTTGTGCAAGCGCCCCTTTGCCCTAACTACACCTGTTTCTTTTAATACTTGCTTCATCTGGTTTGAATTGAAGTCCGATACGTGAGAGTTGTCGTCTCTGAGTGTGCAGTAAGCTCTGGGCAGTAGAGACTGTCTTGGTCTTTATGACCTCTTCCACCCCGCGACAGGATGTCGGGTGGAGTCAGCATCTGGCGAGGGTTTGGTGAATTGACCCCAGCGCCTTAAAGAGCCCTCCAGGAACCTCTCCACCAGAGTCTTGGACTATTTTAGGACCCAAAGTCTAGAAGTTCTGAAGAATGCCTCAGCTCTGTGAGACGATTCAGCGGCAGTCACAGCATTTGAGAGACTGAGGCAGGAGGAGTACTTTCAGGGGACAGCGTGGGGCTTCTTCCACCGGGAATTCAAGAACGGGTTTACATAATTAGACCCTGCTTCAGATAAACAGGAGGAGAGAGGGCCTGACAGGCTGTTAGAGAATCACTAACCAGAATCTCTTTTTTTTCTAAGTAGCATCCTAGGCTTGAAAGTCCCCTGGGGAAAATACACCAGAGAAATTCCTGTGTCTGCAGTATCGGTGTCGATTATTCAGATGGTTAAGAACAGAATCTTTAGCAACATTGAATGTGTTACCGGCAACTGAAATGGCTTCATTCCAAAGGAAAGGACTGCAAGCAAGGATTCTTAGCTCTGAAGAAGAGGAGAAACTGAAAAGAGACCAAGCTTTGGTGTCTGATTTTAAACAGCAAAAACTGGAAAAAGAAGCTCAGAAGAACTGGGACCTTTTTTACAAAAGAAACAGTACCAATTTTTTCAAGGACAGACACTGGACCACCAGAGAGTTTGAGGAGCTAAGATCGTGTAGGGAGGTAGGCTGGGGTTTCTCCTGGCCCTGAGCCATCTTCATTTATGGTGAAGAAAGGTTCTTTACTTCATGTAGAGTGTGCTCCCAGCTGTGAACCTTAGCTGTCATGTCTCAGGAGCTGTTTTTTGAAACAAGGTCCTTCACTGGACCTGAAACACACAGATTAGCTGGGGTGAGGGTGAGGGTGTTTGAATTCAGCCTCTTGTGGTTGTATATAGCAAACACTTCACTGACGGAGCTAAGAAAAGAAAATTTATGAAACCCATCAAAATGCACCTAAGGAGAGCGTTGTTTGCTTTTAAGTAATTTTAGCAGTTTCTGGGCTGTTTAATTGGAAACAGAACTTTAAGGTTCTCTTTTTAGATTTGCTTCTCTTATTATGTGTATGAGTGTTTTGTCTGCATGTATGTCTGTGCACCACATGTGTGTCTGTTACCTGTGAAGGTGAGATGAGGGTGTCAGATCCACTGGAACTGGGGTTACAATTGTAGGTTGCCATGTGGGTGCAGGGAATTAAACCTGCCAGAAGAGCAGCACCTGCTTTTAATTCCTGAGCCATCTCTCCAGACCCTTAAAGCTGTTTGGTACTTACTTAATGCTAATCTGAAAGTTAGAAATATTAACTTCTAACAGGAACCTTTAGTGACAGATTGGAGCTATTTACAGTAGTGAATGAACCATTCACTGTAACTCTTAAATGAATTTTATATACGGTCTCCTACTTAACCTTCATAGCAGCTCTCTGACGTGCACTAGTGTAGTTCCCATTTTCAGAAAAGAAAATCAAGGGTAATTATAAGTGAGATGCCAGTGTTAGCTTTTCCTTACTAGTTCTGTTGTTTATTACCTGCTTCTTGATGTCAGAGATGCCATCTCTTGCATGCTCAACCTTTTTAGCTTGGTGTATTTCTTCAATATGCAAATGTATTGTGTTAAAACTTTTGTTTTTATTTCTCAGTATGAAGGTCAAAAATTGACTTTATTAGAAGCTGGATGTGGGGTTGGGAACTGTTTATTCCCACTTTTAGAAGAAGATTTGAATATCTTTGCCTATGCCTGTGATTTTTCTCCAAGGGCAATTGACTACATTAAGGTTGGTGGACTCATTATATATTCTTCTGTTTGTTTGTCCTTAGGCCAGTTATCTGATTCTGGTCCCCTTCAAGGAGCTTGCCAGCTATCATCACCATGAGTGTCATTTTCTTCTCAATGTACATATGAAAACATTTGATTCAAAGCAAAGCAGGAAAAAAATACGAAACAGTGTTTACTTCATCTGTATAGTTTATAGATTTGTGTCTGGTTGGTAACACTTGTAGACCAGGTTAATGTGACCAGGACTGTGTATACGCTTCTCAGAACTCACAGGCACAGTCCTCTGTGAGGAATAGTGGCGGAGACAATCCCTGAGAAGAGGGTGAAGATTTACATTATTAATAGGTAATGCCACGTTTCCTTTCAAAAAGATCATGCCATTTTATAGTTTTACCAGTAATGTAAAAGCACTGTTTCCTGTTTCCTTAGTCAGTCTTTCTTTCTTTCTTTCTTTCTTTCTTTCTTTCTTTCTTTCTTTCTTTCTTTCTTCCTTCCTTCCTTCCTTCCTTCCTTTCTCCTTCCTTCCTTCCTTTCTCCTTCCTTCCTTCCTTTCCTTCCTTTCTTTCCTTTCTTCTTTCTCCTTCCTTCCTTTCTCCTTCCTTCCTTCCTTTCCTTCCTTTCCTTTCTTTCTTCTTTCTCCTTCCTTCCTTCCTTCCTCTTTCTCTCTCTTTCTTTCTCTTCCTTTCTTCCTTTCTTTCTTTATTTCTTTTTCTTTCTCTCTTTTCTTTCTCTTTCTCTCTCTCTTTCTTTCTCTCTCTTTCTTTATTCCCTCTTTCTGTCTTTATTCCTTCCTTCCTTTCTTTCTCTTTCTCTCTTCTTTCTTTCTCTCTCTCTTTCTCTTTCTCTCTCTCCCTTTCTCTCTCTCTCTCTCTCTTTCTTTCTTTTCTTTCTCTTGGAGAAAAAAAAGTCTCAGTATTTTATTTTTCTCATTACCAGAGTTATTGAAGACTAAAACATGTAAATTCCTTTCCTTCTGCCTTGGCCTTTTTTCTGCATGTGTTTTGAGAGCTTGCTGTCTGCCAGCTGCTGTCCTGAGCCCTGGGGGTAAGCAGTGAACAAGATACAGAGTCCCCACCTGCGCAGAACCTACATCACAGGAAGAATTATCTTTAGCCTGTTTTTCTCTTGACTTTGTTTTGTTTTGTTTTGTTTTGTTTTGTTTTGTTTGAGACAGTGTTTCTCTGTTTGGCCATGTCTGCCCTGGACTCACTTTATAGACCAGGATGGCCTCAATCTTAGAGATCTGCTTTCCTCTACATCCCTGAGTGTTTGGATTACAGGCATGCACCACTGCACTCAGCTATTATTTTGTTTTTAGAATATATTCAGGATCTTATTATACTTATGTTGCAAGCATCTCTTTTTGCCTGTCAATATTATTAATAATATTATTAATGGTGCCCCCTCCCCCCTTTGTTTTCTTTCAGGACAGGTTTTCTCTGTGTAGCCTTGGCTGTCCTGGGCTCACTTTATAGACCAGGCTGGCCTCGAATTCACAGCAATCTGCCTGCCTCTACCTCTCCAAGTTCTGGGATTACAGGCGTGTGCCACTGCCCGGATGGTACCCTTTCTTAACCCAGGGTTTAATTATCTTTTTGTTTTCTTTGCGATAGCTCAGGCTGAGGCAAGATGAAATTGTTTATTTTCTTGCCTCAGACTCCCGAGTGCTGGGATTACAAGTGTACACCACCATACCTGGCTCATATTAAATTTATTAACTTTTTACTTTTGAGGTAATAAGGTTTTATGTGTAAAAATTCTTTACTCCTGACACTTAGATAATCATTTATTGTTTTGTCATATTTTTTAATCTGAAAAAAAAAATCTGACCATACTTCAGATACTTTCTTGAGCTCTTATTTTTTCTTTTCCCTCCAGGAATTCAGTTACAACCCTCTTCTACCATCACTGCTCCCACACACACTTGTGTAAGCATCACACACACACTCAGCATGCCCTGATAGATGCTGCTTTGTGAGGTTCCCACTTGTAATCTTTTTGCATTTTTATGACAGTTGAGACATTGTTTCTATTGTCCTGTTTTTGAGTTCACTGATTGTTTTCTAAAGAGGTATTTCTCCAGTAAGCTCATTTGAAAAAGATTCGTTTCTTCTATAAATTCATTTCATGGTTTTTATTTTTTTATTTTTTGGCATTCAAATTTTCTTATAATTTCTATCCCTCACATTACCGATCTTATTTTGCATGTTATCTGTCCCTTCCATTTGCATCTGTAACATTTTAATGTTCTTTTGGACTTTGAGAGATTTATTTGTAACCTTTAATTATAGTAGTGTAATGTATATGTAGTGTGGATATGCCTGCATGTGGGTATGTGCACAGGAGTACCAGTGCCTGCAAAGGCCAGAGGTTTCACGTCCCTGTAGCTGGAAGACTGATAGCTGTGACTGCCTGGTGCGACTAGTAGAAGTTGAGCCAGGGTCCTCTGAA